CAGCAGATTTTCTTGGCCTTTGACTAATTTATACAAAGACACCATGAAGACATCCAGGTGAGTCCCACTTTAAAATATATGACCGAGGGGCGCCTGGGTGGCTCAGTTGGTTAAGCGTCCGACTTCAGCTCAGGTCATGATCTCGCCATCTGTGAGTTCGAGCCCTGTGTCGGGCTCTGGGCTGACAGCTCAGAGCCTGGAGCCTGCTTCAGATTCTGTCTCCCTCGCTCTCTGCCCCTCCCCCGCTCACGCTCTGTCTCTGAAAAATGAATAAACCTTAAAAAAATAAAAAAAAATAAATAAAAAAAAATATGACCGAGGTAGGAAAATTACAATTATAAATAAATTACCACTAATTTGTTATTTCAGAACACAACCACTTTATGAAAGACGTCTGTTGAGATGCCTTCAATAACTAGCTGTCCCAATGCAGTAAATCAGATTCAATTTCCAAAAATTCAATTTACAAACATCTTTTTTGGAACAGAGCTACTATGCAAAGCAAGGCACACCTGTAGCTCTGAGACTTCTGGCAAGTTTGCTGGCTGCTCTTTTGCCCAGAAGAGCATGAGGAGTCTGGCTTCTCCCTCCCACCCCCTGCCCCACACACCTTGCTTCCATCTTGTTTGTGAGTTTTCTGACCCCTGGTCCAGGTATTCCTTTTTTTCATCCAATGCAGAGGGTATTATCAGGCCTCCTTGCTTCTGTGCCAAGTGACAGAAAACCCAAAGCAAATGGCATTAAGGTAACAGTGGGTATTTGCCAGCTCACAAAATGAGAGATGCAGGGATGGTACTGGTTTTGGGTGTGGCTAGATGTAGGGCTTAACACAAGCAGGGCCGTTTCTCCACTTCTGTGGGTGCCATTCTCAGACTCCTCCTTGGTGACCTCGGCAAGTTCTCTGCTCTCCTGTCTTGGTGTGAGGATGGGGACCACAGCTCTCCAGCAGCTCAACCCCACCACTGGTGTGTATTTAAAAATAAAATACAAGATTCATTCTGATTGGACCAGCTTAGGCCACAGGCCCATTCCTGGACCAATTACAGTGTTCAGAGAGCTATGATGTACTGATGGGCTGGGACCTGAAGCAGGATCCCTGGCCAGATGCCCTTAGGTTAGGAAGGAAAAGCAGGGGCACCTGCTGGGATAAAGGACGTGTTCTGCCAGGACAAATAGATGTTACCATGTTGACTTCTTCTCTTTGTTGGAAAAACCAGAAGCGGTGTACAACTTTGGGGGGGAACTTCTGGGAGAGCGGCATTCCAGGTCTTTATAAGGGTATGCTTAAAAGAGGATGCTGGAGGAGATAAGGATGGGAATGACTGGCCTCTGCTTGGGGTGGGGGTCCTGTGGCCAAGGACCAATAGTTCATGGCAGAATAGCCACGTAGGTCAGACTCTTCCCAAGTTCTCCTTATTGAGGGGTCACCTCTCTCACCTCTGGTGGCACACCTCTGAACCTTGCTCTCTGGGGAGTCTTTGAAGGCTCATTCACCCTGAGCTGAGAAGTCTGCTCCCTCACCTCCATGGAGAGAGATGCCTGACCTCAGCAGCAGAGAAAACTGTGTAGGGAGGAGAAGAAAGCCTCAAGGTTGAGCCTCAGGCAGGCTTTTCCCCTAGGAAAGGAGAGCACTTGGTCAGGGAAGCAGGGACTCTCCATGAGAATCCAGATGGGACCCTGTAGGTGTCTAGACCAATTCCCCACCAAACACATGGGCCTCTACAGATCACTCAGCATCTTTCTTCTGCTTGAAGAAGGTGGACCTAAAGGAGGCTCCTAGGACCACTGACTTTCTGTGATCCTGAGGGCTTGACAGATCATTGGAGGGTATCTTTATACAGTGGGGAAACTGAGGTCTGGGGTGGGGGAACTTGGTTCTGGTCTCCCCCTCCTCTCCCGAGCCCAAGCAGCACCCAAGCATGCTCTCCCTTGTTTGCTTCACTCTTTTAGTCATAGGTAATGGCCCGTTCTTTTTTTTTAATTTAAAACAATTTTTAATGTTTATTTTTGCATGAGAGAGAACAGAGTGCAAGCAGGGAAGGGGCAGAGAGAGAGAGAGACACAGAATCTGAAGCAGGGGAGTGGCAGAGAGAGAGGGAGACACAGAATCTGACGCAGGCTCCGGACTCGGAGCTGTCAGCACAGAGCCTGACACGGGGCTCGAACTCACGAACCCAAGATCATGACCTGAGCTGAAGTCGGACGCTCAACCGACTGAGCCACCCAGGCGCCCCAGTGATGGCCCTTTCAATGGCTAGGTTTTAACCTGTTGATACCATGAGAGAAGCAGAGTAGCGAGGAACAGAAGGAGGGAGGGGGGAAGTGGAGCAGTACAGAAACAAAAACAAGATGAGTGCTGTTGTCACAGGAAGTGCAAGTCTAAAGCAGCGGTTGGGTAACATTTTATGAATCACTGCCACTTTTGGTAATCCAAGGGAGGCGGTCAGAACCAATCTATTGTGTGAGAAGTATTACTTTCAGAGGAGGCACCCGTAGAAGCCAAGCACTCATTACAAGATGCTCTTATGTTCCAACATGGTGCAGCTCCCCAGGCCCTTGCTTCTGAGCTGGTACAGGAGTCTTACCACCTCGATTACCTTACCACCACAACCACCTATCTTGCCAGCCCAGGCTCCCAATGACTTCCATCAGTTTCAAGAAGTCAGAAGGCTGGTGTCATCTTGAAGAAGACATCACACGAGTGGAAAGTCCTGATCAGAGTCCCCGGGGCGAATGGCAGACCTCCACCTCCACTGAGGTCTGAGGTGGGGGAACTTGGTTCTGGTCTCACAGCCAGAGGGTGAGGTGAGTGCAAGGCTCTGGGATGCAGGGATAGAGTGAGGCTCTGGGAGTCTCTGCTGAAACTCCAGCCACAGGGGTCCAGGCCCCACCAAGCTGCGCAGCAGCGCTGAGAGGTAATCCAGAGTCTCAGAAGGAGCAAAGGAAGTCAGTGAGGAGAGGCCTTCGGGGAAGGGCCAGAGCTAGAGGAAAAGGGTGGAGAGGCCCAGAAATCCTGGACAGGGAGAAGAGGAGGTGCCACCAAACACATGGGGGTGGGGAGACTCTTCTGTGCTTTAGTGGGATGCAGGTAGGCGTCAAGTTTCGGTCTCTGGAGGACGCCAGGCCTCTGGTCATTGTCCAGTGCTCCTCACCTCTCACCTTGACTCCCACCTCCAAGGAGCTCCGCTGCCCGGGGAGGTCTCCCAGTGCAGCCCCAGGGCAGCCAGCGCGAGTCCTCAGGAAACGCAGAGCGCACGGGCGCCGACAGGGGGCGCCAGCAAACTCGCCCTCCAGGCCGCACCCCCGCCCCGCTCCGCGCTCGAATCCTCAGCAGGGCTCAGGCGGTGGGGCGCGGCCTCCAGGTGGTGGGCGGTCGCTACCGGGTCGGTCAGGCCAGTTGAGCCGCACAAAACCTCTGCGGCCTCTGAGCGGCTGTGCACACCAGTCGAGGTCTCCCAGGTCGCCTGGAGCCGGGCCCTCCTGAGGTGCGCGGCCTTCGAAGGCCGCGGCCACCCCAGGCCGGGAAGACGTACCCCGGGTCAGGAGGCCACCACTCGGGACTAGCCCATATAGGCGCTGCGAAGGGCCCCGGGACAGTGCCAGGGCGCGCGGTCCGGCTCCCTGCTTCCCTCGGTCCAGGCGGAGGCCGGCGGCTTGAGGGTTAAAAGGCGACTGCCACCCCCATTCTCTTGGGGAGAAAGTGCCTTTTCTCCAAGTCCATATGGCCACTTCCTTTCGACCTGCTCGGCCCTGCTCGCCTCTTTGTCCGAGCTGTCACTTATAAAGAATCACTTGACTTACAATAACAGGTTCAAAAGACGACAGAGTATAATCAGTTGATCCACGAAGAATTGAAATAAAGAACACCCCACTGCTCCAGCTATCATTCCCATAGAGATAGTGATATCATTGATGTGATTGCGATGCTAATTTCTATACAAGGAAAAAAAAAACCTTGTATTTTGGAATTTGTTCAAAGAGAATTTCAGACACATCAGATTGGAAAATGAGAACTGAATTCCTAAACTTTTTTGGGTAGGCGGGGGCTTTAAAAAATTTTTTTTAACACCACTGCAAAGATTTAAGTGGACTTTAAGAATCTCATAGAACTAGCCTGTTGGGGGAAACACTGTTTTCTCACTCTTGGAAATCCTGGGGAGAGACAGACAGATAGATAAATGATGGACAGATATAGATTGAGAACGCCCTGGGTATTCAGGAAAGAGTCCGAGGGTGCAGGCATGGGTGACCAGGCCGGGTGCCCACTGGCGGGGCGCGCACAGAGGAGCGGACCATAGGCAGTGAGGTTCCAAGGCCAGGTGCCAGGGACAGTTGGGTTGCGTCTGTACCTGAGCCCCTAGTCCAGCCCGCTGCCCAGCTGCTCCTCTTGGTGTGGAGTCTTTTGTACCTAACCTCACTGTTGCACCGGTCCTTTGCCACTGAGTGCCTCCTTCCACAGGGTGGGGTGGGGGGTAGGGAGGTTGTGTCTGCTTCTTCTTTATCTTTGCTGTTTATGTATTGTGGTGCCCTGGTTTAAAACCTGCCAGTCATCTTAGAGGAACTCAGTTCAGGCAGGCCAGAACAAGTCTTACCTGAATCAATGTTTTAAGTGTCCCTGTGGCTTGGCGTTTTGAATAATCAATCTGTCTCCAACCCTTCTTAATCATGCACAACACAGGCCTCTCTCTCTCTCTCTCTCTCTCTCTCTCTGTCTCTCTCTCTCTCTCTCTCTCTCTCTCTCTCTCTCCCCCTCTCACCCTCCCTCCCTCCCTCTCTCCTCCATGATTTGTCAACTCTTTTGGATCCTGTCTTTCTGCTATTAACATGCCCCAATGTCACATGCGAGTCTTTTCTTTAAAACAAGCTCCTCATTGGTGTATCTGGATACTTCTTTTATTATTATTACTGAATCTTTTTTTCCCATAATGACACCAGGATCATTATATAATCCCATAACAAAGAGGCTTTTGAGGCACCAGCTTTTGTCAACTCTAGGACAGAGAATCCATAATTGCATTATTCAGCTTTTCCCCCCTTCTTTCCCCCTCTCCCTTGCTTCGCAGAAACCCAACCTCCTGCATCACTCACATCTCTACCTTGTTACCTCGCCTTACATTATTTACCAAAGCGTTTGCCTTGAGGACCAGCATTTGCAAAGTTGCCTTAAAAAAGTTATTTTGTTTGATAATTAAGTCCTGGAGCCCACCGCGTGATGATTATTCTGGACCCATAAGGCAGAGAACCTGCGTGACGTTTTTCTCGAAGTTTAATTACCGTATGCTAATTTCCTTGCCTACTACGTGATTAATTAAAATCATATTTTCATAATCATTTGGCACTAGTATTGTTTTAGAATTATCATGATCTCCTAAATAGTGTCTGTAAATAAAGTCGCCTCTAATGGCAGGCGCGGGAGGCGAGGCTGAGGACCTCTTCGTGTTTGTATCGCGGCGATTGGCAACATAACTGCCTTATTTACATTAAATACGCCACAAGGTTACAGCGCGGATCAACGTCATTTGATCGCTGATGACTCCCTTAAACGCCCGGGCTGTGACTGATTCTCCGCGTCCCGCTGTCCACCGAGATTCACCCGGGAGTTTTTTTTTTTTTTTTTTTTTTTTTCCCCCAGAAAAGAAACAGACTTTAAATAGTTTCAGGAGCAGGTAAGAATTAAGCTTTTTCCTCTCCCCCTCTCCGTCTCTCTCTCCTCTCCCTCTGTGGCAATCTCTCTCTCCCTCTCGGCTGGATAAAAAATTCTTTAGTCAAAGGCAGGAATGCAAAGTAGTGACAAGCGAAGGGGCTGATATATGTCTCAGTAACGAGTCTGACAATCAGAATGTAGCTCTTGGAGAATAGATAGATTTTAATAAGTGTGTTTACATGAGCTCAAGGTCAGAAGCAAGCTGCGCTGTGTTAAATGGTTTCTTAGTTGCTAGACAGAGAGAAAAAATGGACGATCACACACCATTCTTTGTAGATTATTATATCAAGGGTTCAGTCTCTGGCTCATCAAAGCTAAATGCCGCAAGACCTATCTAGTTGCTGTGAATTATGCCAGGGCGACAATGGAGAGCGTTTTTAATGGTACAATGCATTTCACCTACCAGATAGGGGGAGGCCAAGCCGGGGATGGGGATGTCTGCTGGGGCTGGGTGATGAGTATCAATGAACGGGGCGATGCTGAAAAGAGGCAGATGAAAATCGAGCCCGCCCTGCCCCGGCTGGGCTGGGAACAGTTCACAGGGCTCTGCCGAGTGGGCGAGCGAGGCGCGCGAGCAGGGCGCCCGTCCCCCCTCAGCCCCGGAAAATGATCAAGTCAATCATGTGGACATGTTTCATTATTCATTGAACACAATCTTTTACAACGCTCCGTTTACGTGCCCGAGTTTGCTCCCGACGCCCGCGTTTCAATGTTTAAGGTAAGGAAAACAAAGGTGGGGGGGATCGCGGGGCGCGGCGCGGTGGGGGTGGGGGCGGTGGGGGGGGGGGGCGCGGGGGGGGGGGGGGGCGGCGTCCGGGAGGTGGCAAAGTGAGTTTGGACTCTTGGCGTGGCCCCCCGTCCCCTCCCCCTCCCCATCTCGGCGAGGCCTGCCGCCGGGTTCCTTCTCGCCCCTTCGCGATTAAAAAATACGGTCTAATTAAATATCCGTGGCTGTGACGTTGGCGAGAGAAGCTGTCAGCGGGGGGAAAAATGAGGAAGAAACCGGGAAAGCGGCGGCGGCCGGGCATCGAATGGCGCTAGAGAACTTCGGCGGCGAGCGGGACCCGCGCCTGGGCCGCCGCCTCCCCCGCCCGCGGTCCCGGGACCGTTACTTTGAAAAGGAGTCGCCGGGCCGCGAGCCGGGCGCGCGGGCCGGACCCCGCGCCCACCTCTGGGCCCAGCCCGCGCCCCC